AACTAGCTTTTAATCTGCTTTTAAGCACTCAAATTTGTGCCTAGAAGCAAAGAAATTAATCACAACGACGACTCTGGCCATGCGCAATCAGAAGGAAACAGATGGTGTAATGCAGTTTTTCCAAACAGCCTCTATCACCAGGAAAATAATCTGAGTATTTTCCCTTGCTGTTGGGATTACTGTAACAAAAGCTCCTACCAAAAGGATTTTTTTCTGCACTCTGTACTGCATCAGCAAACTAGCAGTTTAAACATGGTCATATTCTTTGAGCATTAATTGGCAAAACCAACTAGAATGAATCTGATCTCTTTCATGTCACAGAAATGGTAAGCATTCAATGGGTAACACAGAGGAAGGTCTTTTAGTAACTATGAACAGTTTGATGGAGTTAACAAAATCATGGCGATGAAACAGGTCTTATTTTTCTCATGCTTTGCTTCCTGGTCTGTTTTTGATTGCAGTTACAGTTTTGCACATTGATGCTAAAAGCAGCCACACTGATTTACATCTGTATTCACTTGCTGATTCTGCTGAGCTCTTGCAGAGTGAAGACAATGAGACAAAACCTGTCTGAAAACCTGAAAACTGTCTCATTGTTCCAAGATGTCAGGCAGACTGTAACACAAAGCAAGAATTAATCATTCTCTTGTTAAAGTGGATGAGATCAATATAAAGTGTATGTACACCTTTCACCCAGACTGTTTTTGTACTTGTTGGAATTTGATAGGTGTGCTTATACTTGTTTTTTTAGGATTCTCTATCAGAACTTTCCCTCTAAGAAAAAGTTTTAAAAGAATTTCCATAATATAATCTATATTCCCTGTGAACTGAAATTACATTTTAAAAAAAAACAGTCCCATATACAGAGAGACTGTGATAGAGTACAAAACTCAGAAATTGGTATTAAGGGAAGTATATAAAGGCAAATCTGACAGCTATTCCAAACAAACTCAGTATGTCCCAAAAACATAATATATGGATGACAGATATGTTTTCAAAATACATTGATATTAAGTTATTAAATATTAGAAGGTAAAAGAATTATGTATCTCATGATAAATAGACACACAAACCCTGAATTAGGTTAAAAAAGAGAATTAGGTTAGTTGTCCAAGCTTAATCCTAAATGAACGTGTCTGCTCAGAGACAAACCATGATTGTAATAAGCATCAGCACAGATGAATATAAGTAGATCAGGACTGAGATAAATGCTTGTATGCTATTTATACCTGGATATTACGTTGTTGCACCACAGCTGACAATCTCCTCTCTCTCAAAAAAAGCTAACGATCATTATTTAAGTAAATCCTGAAATCAATACAGATAATTTTAAAATTTAAACAAGAAACAAAAAAAGATCACATAATGTAAATTTAAGGTTTTGATATCCTGGAAGTGTTATTTGTAACAATAAATTAAAAAGTCTTAAAGCCTAATATAACCCTTTAAGTTTTTAAAGTTTTTAAGTTCTTTTTTTTAAAAAAATTTGTATTCCATGCCTGCATTTCCTGGGGTTTAGAAGTAAGTTTGACCCCTGCCTCAAAAACAACAAGCTATTCTACCACTAGGAATAGAACATTCAGAAAATCACAATGGATCATTCAAATAACTAGAAGAGACTGGTGCCAAGCATTTGTACCATTTAGCTAGATAGCATTTCATGTTTGGCTTTTAATGCAGTAACTCTTGAAAGCAACTTGTGAACAATTTCAAAACTTCAAAGCAAGTTCTGTGGAACAGCGTGAAAACTCTAGTGGTTCTGGTGCAATTCAGGTCAAAACACTGGAAAAGCCTGATTAGCATCTAGCACCAATCCAGGGCTGCAGGTAAAGAGTACCGTGACATTAGAAGTAATCAAACTGTTGCGGCTCTCCCCAGTTCACTGATTTACTTCAATTCAGCTTGGTAGAATGACCCAGCAAATAAAAGTACAGGTCAGGATTGAGCACTTTTGCCAGAGACCTACATTTCACACAGAACTGAAGACAGATGAGGAACTGGAACTCCTTCAGATTAAGTCTCGAGACCTACTTCTGTCCTGTCCTTGATATAGGCTCATTCTGGGCTAGCCAAACTGTTTCAGGTCTGCATTCAGTACCTTTTATCGAAGACAAAAGATGCCTTTTGGTATTCTTTAACAACTACATACAGCAGGTACAGAGTGTTTCCTCACCAAAGTGATTGATTTTTGCAGAAGTATTAAGGGAGGGAAAAGAGGGGTTTGTAAAACTTTACAGTATGGTCACTACTGCTTCTCTCCCCGGCCTGATCTGTCACATTTGAGATCAGTGATCAACTCACTAATGAAACTTGCTCTTCCTTCATTTCTTTAAAGAGACAGATCACCTTCTTAATCCACTTGGGAACATGCTCCTCAGCTGTTCAGAAAATATTTTGTTGAGATTCAGGACACTGCAAAACCTATGTTTAGATGGGTGAAGTTCAGAAGATCTTTTCCAGAAGGCAGTCATCACAGGCCAGAAGCACCCTGTGTGCCTCTGCCTTTCCTCATGTAGTTCTTTCTGCAGAAAAGTGTTCTCCATTCCCATGCATTTCAGGCCCAAGTGATCCTGTGCTTGGTTCTCATCTCTCCCCTGTCAGACTTAAATCCTTTTCCACACTGCACAATCTTTCCCCTTTAGTCTCTTCTTGAATGGTGTATGAATGAAGTGCAAGAATTATCAGCTGAGTAGCTGTTTTGAAATTCTTCTGCCTA